CGATTTGAGCACTTATAACATACCTAAAAAAATTACGCGCGTCTGATTGGCTGAAAACGGTTGCATTTTAAATGTAACACGAGTGCAAAGTTGTGACACGAGTGCAAATGACAAGTAGTGCGCCCAAGATCTCTGTTGTAACTTTTCCTACTGGCTGACAAACAATTCTCATAATGTTAGTTTGGAGAATTTGATATGATTACAGTGCAACTTATGCGCTGGAATCTTTTCACAATTAAATTATGTATTTCTTTTAGTTCTACTTACAAACTTTTTCTTGTACCATAGTAATAAACAATTTTTATTCTGTATTTAGGGAGTATGCTTGCCCAATATGTAACAAGTCCCTTATTAATATGACCCGCATGTGGCGCACACTAGATCTTGAGATATCTCAGACACCCATGCCAGAGGAGTATAGGGAGTTCTATGTACTGGTAAGATGCTTATGTTAATCTACTGCCTGCTTTTTAACTATTTAAGCCCCCAGTTCTGATTGTTACATGTAGTTCTTCTCTTAAGCTACTACACATTTACTTATCAATTAGTAATGAGAGGTTGGTCTTAGATCAAGATAATAACTTCTACATGTACCTGATAAGTTTGAATATTTTCATTTCCTGTTTGGTGGATAAAGTATGGATATTATCAGGAGAAGTTTCATTTTAGTCACTTCTGGGAGCTGGAAGGTTATTGGTAATGAATATGATTTTTAGTGATATTGAGACATTTATTTTAGACCTAAATGTTGGTCCTACTAAAAAACTTGCCAGTGGTGGTCTAACAGTCATTAAGAGGTGTAAGAGTGATTACCATCTAATTTCTCCTCACAATATCTCCCCTGAATCGCTTATTAAGTAATAGGTTAAGTACAGTATGTCCATAAAGTTTTGCATGGGTTTGGAACATTACATAGTTGAACCTTGATTACCCAGAATCCTTGGGGACTGGAGAGAACAGTGTGGATAATTGAGAGTCTGAGTAATCGAAAATATGAATATTGATGAGCCAAAAATAAAACTGACCAACTGAAAAGAAACTACATGTAGATCATTTAATTATTATCATGCAAGAATTAAAGCATATTCTCAATTTTTTGTCTATTAACTTTATTTTGCTAAAAGTATTTACAAAAAGTTATTAACCATTTAGCCCCTAAGAGTGACTAGCATCTAATTTCTCCTTACTATATCCTCCCTGAATCAAACTTGAAAGTTATGGGAATAGAGGAGATGATCACCAACTAAAGCAGCTCTTGACTGTTACACAAATTCTCCTTGTCAGCCTCTTTGGAAATGTATTGAGAACATTATGGAGAATATACATACTGATGTTAGGGGGGGAAAGGATTAGGGTAGTCAACAATGTTTTACCACAACGTAATTGATCCTTTGGGCAAAGGAAATTAATAAAAAGTAGTCACAGATCTTGAATTTGATGGGGACCAGAGAAGCAAGTCTGGATAATGGAAAAATCTGGATAATTCAGGGTCGACTTTATCACCCATTTTATATCAAGCTGACTAACTAATTCAGGAATACATAAAATTCTAATGACCAATAGCGCGGTTGGAAATGCAATATTTTTACCTCCTTTTTGGTTCATTGCAGGTTCTCTGTCGCGATTGTGACAAGGTAAGCAGATTACTTGGCATAATTTGCACTTAGAAAATAAAAAACACTTTAAGTAAAAGATGTTTCAATTTATGACTAAATCACGCTGCTGAGAGACTGTAAGCATCACTTCTAAGTTGTTGTAGGGAAATATTGAGTGCATGTGAATGTCATGAAACTTTTTTTTTCCAATAGAAAAAGCAAAATTTCATGTTCTCGGCTTGAAGTGCATGGAGTGTGGTTCCTACAACACGAGCAGAAAGAGTGAGGAGGGTGTACCTGTGGTACCCAGACCTACCACAGGTGGCCCAGCTGTAGATAACGAGGATGGCTGGGAAACAGAAGAAGAAGAGGAAATTTTAGGAGGAGAGGAAGAGCCTGCAGCAAATGGAAATGAAACACGACAACAACAAGACGACAGTATAAGTGATGAACTGAATATAGCAGATGTTGTGATAAATGTAGACGGTGACAGGGACAGTGTTCTGCCTTTAGACTGACGGAGGCACACCATGAAGCCTTTTGCGTGCTCTCTTAACCTGACTGAGGTCAAAATAGTCAATGAGAAGCTCCCACAGGGGCTGCAAACCAAGGCAGCAAGCAAATGAGCCTCGGCTACGAAATAATTTTTCTCACTGCTTCTGCACTGCTTTCACCAATTTATTGGCTATATTGTAATCGTTTTTAACCAGGTAACCAAAGGAATAAGTAAAATTTTGAAACGATGTTGTAAGTGGCACGATCCATTTTACCGTCAGACTATCGTTTTCTTTCTATTTACCTGGTAGACTAAAAACTCCCTCCTTTTCGGCTAGGTCCGCCACGAGTTAAAGCAAAATTAGCGAAAAGAAAAATCGATCTTATCGCACCGTTAAGGGAAAAAAAGGCCGTGAACACGCCGTGCGGAGTTCTGGGAGTGAGGCTCAAAATGTAATCAATCCGTAAGATAAGCTTGTCTTGGTAGTGTGTTGACGGTTATCTTAACAAATACATAAGAGACTTCACAATGCACTGCTACGTGTCACAGTTACTGATTTGTGTACAACACTTTCATTTGTTCGATCGTTTAGTTTCATCGTCTGGGCCATGAAAGTCCTTAAAAAGATTAATGTTGGTAAACAGGAACTGAACACAGAAATCAAACGTCTGGCATGTGCAAAGGAATTAATTTTAGCCGGTCGCGCACTACGCGTAATTTTTCCTGGACCCTTCATATCATCACAATCTAGCATTGTACAGCATCAAATCTTTGAAATACAGTCGCAAAGAACAAATTCATAAACTCCTTGACTCAGTTGTATCTCGGTAACACTGCGCACCAAACCCATCATGTGCTACTACCCAGCAAAAATTAACAGATACAATTTTGGAATCTAGCGCAATTTTACGTTGTCAAGAATGCGCACTAATCGTTACACGTACACATAAATTCAATCCATAGACCTTCTCTACGTAGTCTGTTTCTATACAGTTGTATTACACGAAATTGTTTTTTTCTATATAATATGTGTATATAACTTTAACTCTCTAGATTTCATGCTATTCAGCCTCAGAGGCCGCGAATTTGAATATTTTTAATGAACTATCTGTCTCAGTCTAAGCACCCTTTAATCAAATTTAAAGGCCATGAGAAAATAGGAAATGATCACCATCTGAGGCGGCTCTCAATTGTTAAACAAATTCTCCTTGTCAGCAGCATAAGAAATGTATAGAGAACAGTATGGAGAATATGCATACTGATGTTAGGGTTTAAAAGGGTTAAGGCAAACATAAGCTTTAAATGTTATTTCTGCGTGTTCCGTTGTTGCCTTTTTCTCATTAGATATTGCATTAAGTGCCCATTTCGTTTTTATTTACAATAGTCAACAAACATTTATTTTGTGGAGACTATTTAGTCATTTTGATCGCCAAAAGGCGAAATGTTCAGTATATTGGATACAAGTACGTAATCTCCAATGGTCGAGGATGCTCGTTTTTAATCTGCACTCTCATTGGCTCTTTGTGGTACCTTCCCTTCTTCTCATTGGCTGATGTTACTAGCTGGTTTTGGTGTTACGACATTCAATCGAAAAGTGCGTTAAAGAGATCCTTGTTTCCGGTTTCCTCTGAAAATGAAATGGTTCCCAATTATCTTACTAAAAGAAAGCAGTAACCGTCCCTTTGTCCTTACGGAAATGAAAAAAGCTGAAGTAGTGTCACATACTCTGTAATTAAATAGCAACAAAAGCAAGTCAGACGAGCTCCATCGCACTCTTCGATGGGCTTGGACTATATCGCGCTCGCTAATATACGAGAGAATCAGCCCTTTTTTCACCTCGCTGTTTTTTTTTTCTTGGTTTACCATCATAAATTATGTTATCAGATTACAAGCCATTTCATGTTTTCGTAGGACGTTTTTTTCTAATGTGCATTTTCAAATTGCTGGTAAACCATTTTTCAAATACGAATAAAACGAAAAACTCGTTCTGAAAGGAAATGATTTCTCGCCGTTGCCTCATCACAGACATTTCTGTGAAGATTTATTCGGTCGACATATGATTTTTTTAATGAAATAAGACTCCTCAAAGGAAAATGTCCATTTTCAAGTTGCTGATAAACCATTTTTCAAACACAAATAAAACAAATAATCTCGTTCTGAAAACCTAAGGAAATGATTTCTCACCGCTGCCTCAATACAAAGACATCTCTATGAAGATTTCGTCAGTCAACATGTGATTTTTCTCACGGAATTCAGGCTCCTCAAAAGAAAGTGTTCATTTTCAAATAAAAATAAAACAAAACAAAAAGCTTGTGCGGAAAGCATAAGAAAATGATTTTTCGCCGTTGCCTTAATACAAAGACATCTCTGTTACGATTTCATCGGTCAACATCCGTGATTTCTTTTTAAACGGAAATTACGGTCCATAAAAGGAAAATGACAAAGATTGATTACGTAAGCTTCAAGTTCTTGGACTCCATATTGGAGGGTAAACAGAGCCATGATGATCACTTGATTGATCATATGTCGACATGAATGTGAGTATGTCTGAAGATCCCCTTGTAAACTCTTCCCGGTCAAAGTTCTTTTGTCCAGGTGCTCCGCTGATTATCTGGGATTTAGAAAGGAAAGTGTTCCTACAGCTTGGAATCGCTTTATCTGCCGTAATAGGTTTATTTGCAGTTTTGTTGAACATTTTGGTGATCTTAGCAATCAAGAAAACGAGAGAATTGCAGACAAACTCTATCATTTTAGTCACCAGTTTGGCAGTCGTAGATCTCATGGTGGGTGCGGTTTCTGCCCCATTTAACATCACTTTAGATGCGTTAATTCTTCGAGGAACTATATCGGTGGGCATGATCTGTGTGATAGCTAAACTTACCAAATTTGTTTCGAGCACTACTTACCGTGCTTCGTACTATCACGTAATTCTGTTCAGTTGGGAGAGGTATGTTGCAATTGTAAAGCCTATGAAGTACAAAGCTATAGTAACCGAGAAATGCTTGACAAGATTAGCGATAATCGCTTGGATGACAGCCCTTACAACATCGGTCTTATTTCTCGCATTAGAAGCTACTGCGGTTTCCAAAATGGTACTTCGTGTTATATTTGCTATTGTCCAGTTACTCGCTTTTATCCTTATGGTGTATTTTTATTCCATGGTTTATATCGGAATACGAAAACGGAACCGAAGCCAATTTAGCCACGTCAATGCTCTGATCAAAGCGAGGATGGAAAGTAAAACGGCTTTGACGGTGTTTCTGCTAACAATTGCCATTTTAATCGCTATCGTTCCTTTGGGGGTTGCACTCGTCTTAGCGCAACGTTCCCTTTTTTTTCGTGAAATTTCAGTTTTGCGATGGGCAGAAACTTTCCTCCGGTTAAACTCCATTGTAAATCCTGCGCTGTATTTTTATAGACACAGGAAATATAGGGAAGCTGCTCTTAGACTGCTAAGTAAGCCACGGGAAATTCAGCCAGCGGTTCACGTGGGTCTTCGTAAAAGACGCCAGCGATATTCCTCCGCGTTTGTAAATGTGAAAGAGCTTGTCTACATAGAAAGAGGTCAACGCCTCACACGGTCACAGTCCTGGACAGCGGACACACACATGGTCACTGGAATACCGACCGTGTCTCGAGAACCAGCGGTCGCAATAATGAACAGAAGAATGTCATGTCCACCCTTAACAAGGCATGAAAACCTTCGTGAAGTGATTCAAACTTTCACTCAAACTGTTAAGGTGCAGATTGAACTTCCACCTACAAAGAAATAAGCAAAGAGGAAGAAAAAGTTATCGTGTGTTTGTAAAGGAAATCAGAAGTCACAACACACAAGATCAAAAACTTGGGAAGAATACTCATATCTTGCGTTAGAATTTGTGGGCGTGACTATGCGTGACTACACTAGGCGTGACTACATTAGGTTAGACTGCACTAAGTGTGACTACACTAGGCGTGACTACATTAGGTTCGTCTACACTAGGCGTGACTACACTAGGCGTGACGCACTGATGTACGCGCGCACAGCCTTATTGGCTTTGTGACTTCGCTCTTCTGTTTTTCGAAAGAAATCCTCGCTTGTGTTGTGTTTGTAAATACAGTCCCGAGTTGTAAGATTAAAATGTTCATATTGGAACCTTGACTGGACCTAAAATACTTTCCAAAATCTTATACCTAAAGACACTCGTTACAAATCGCCCCAGGCTACCTCTCAAAGACGCAATTCAGCGCCAACAGTTCTAGCGATGAATTATGTTACTTAACCCTTCACACCCCAACATCAGTTTTCATATTCTCCATACTGTTCTCTGTACATTTACTAAGGTGCTGACAAGGAGAATTTGTATACCAATCAAGATTTTCTTTAGTTGGTGATCATTTCCTTTATTCTCATGACATTAATGTGTGATTCAGTGATAATATTGTAAGGAGAAATTAGATCTTCGACAGCCTCACCTGAGTATTCTTCTTCTCCGCACTGTTCTCTTTAGATATCCTATGTTTATGACGAGGAGAATTGTTTGATAATCAGGAGCTTCTCGAATTTGGTGATCATTTTCTTTCCTCTCATCACCTTTTCATTTGATTGAAGGGTTATATACTGTAGGGAGAAATCAGCCGCCAGTCACTATAGTAGATGAACAGAGGGCATTTTGATCGAGTGTCGTATAATCAAAATTTTAGTTTTTTGCAGCATATCATCAGAACACGAAGAATTATCACAAGTAGCCAATAAGATCTTAAAGAGAAACAAAGCAAAATGCTTGAAGCGCGGGAAAATGTGCATCACCAGGTGGCGATTAGATTCAGTCTTGTTTCTGGTTGGTTGAGATCGGGTCGTTAGTTCTCCAACCAATCAAAAACCAAAGGAAAGGAAAACAAAGATAAACCTGAATCACTTGCAAGATTCAGTCGAAAGCACGCTTGAAGGACCGTCAATAACGAGAAGGTTGTTACTAAAACGGGAAACAAGAAATGGAGAATAACGAGTCGGAAAATCAAATGGGAAATTGAGATTGGAAACGTCGAATTTTTACATCAGTTGTTTACAATGCGGAATAAATATTTTTCAGAGATAATTATCGATATTCTTTTTTGTTAGCGTTTACGGTACATTTTCTCATTGCTCGTATTTTATTTGCTTCTGCGGGGCACTGGAAAACACAACTCGCAAAATATTCACCGTATTACTTGCTAAACCATCACATGAGGTACATACATCGAAAATCAGTCTATTGAAAAAAGAATAAAGGGGTAATTTTTTAAAGAAACTGTGGTTCTACGTCTGTGGGAGAGTATAGCAGGTAATTTAGTGTTAACAACTGAGTTGAAAATGTAAATTAACCACCGAAAAGGGTAAAAGGTAAATTACCTGCTATTGAAAAAAGAATTACACGACGAGAAAAAGTCATATAACGACCATTCGTGCGAGCCAAGAGTCCTCACAAATGCGCTAAAAAGAGCAAAACTAGTCTTTTGCGTTTTCGTGACACGAATATTTCCAATTATTGTACATTTTCATATTGCTAATAAACCATCTTTCAAAGACGAATGAAACAAAAAGAATTATTCTTAAAAGCGTAAGGGAGAGATTTCTCACCGATACCTTAATACAAAGACATCTCTGTGAACATTTTATCGGTCAACATCTGTAATTTTTGTCAACAGAGATAAGGCTCTTCAAAGGAAAACGAAAGAAATGTTTGTTAGTTTTGGTCTTTTTTTAATTCAAACTAGGTTTCACGAGTGACTGATGTTTGTCACTAGAATTAACTAAGATTACTAAGATGTTCATTAAGATTGTAACTGGACTCACGATGGCTGTAATGACGAATCCAAGCTGAGGATAGATTTTTTTCTTTGAGTCTGAGATGAACAGTAAATTACTTCAACAAAAGAAGACTGGCTTGGAGGAATAATTATCTATAGTTATAAATTTGGGAAGTAATCAGTCAAACCCATTTATTTGAATCTTTAGTTTTCCATGATTTTGTAAGTTAAGAAAGGCGTGGTATGCGAGACTTCCGCTAAAGCTTAGGAAAGGAAATTACTTGCAATCAGGCAATTGTCAGACATCAGATCATTTAGCACGAAGATTCAAAGATAAACTGCTATTCTACACATGATCCTAAAGAACTCCACCGACAGTAAATATATCGATCTTCTTAGCAGAAGTGTAGTCCACACAGTTAAAGCCAAAAATTCGCGTAAGCAGTCAAAATATAGCTATCAGTAATTATTGCCTTTTCGTAAATTCGATTCCCCCTTCTTGTTCTTCTTTGTTTTTTTCTGCATAACTTAATGAAAATGTACATTACTATAATCAGAGAGATCTGCGAATTGACGAGTGTTGGGCGGAAATTGTTGACGAATACTTTAAAGATTTGGAAACTTGGGGAAATGTCAAAATCATCAATTGCCCACAACATCCAAATTGCTGACTGGACATGCACGACAAAGCGATTACAAATTTACACCACAAAGCGATAAATATTTATATATTTATAATATCGTTTATGAACGACAAAATTTGCGACCTATTTTTCCTGTTCCTGTTTCTGGCTGTAAGTCCTTAGTGGTTGGAGAAGTTGGTCTTAGATCAAGATAATAACTTCTACATGTACCTGATAAGTTTGAATATTCTCATTTCCTGCTTGGTGGATAAAGTATGGATATTATTGGGAGAAGTTTCATTTTAGTCACTTCTGGGAGTTGGCAAGTTACTGGTAATGAATATGATTTTTAGTGATATTGAGACATTTATTTTAAGTCTAAATGCTGGTCCTACTAAAAAACTTGCCAGTGGTGATCTAACAGTCATTAAGAGGTGTAAGAATGATTACCATCTAATTTCTCTTCACAATATCTCCCCTGAATCGCTTATTAAGTAATGGGTTAAGTACAGTATGTCCATAAAGTTTTGTGTGGGTTTGGAACATTACATAGTTGAACCTTGATTATCTGGAATCCTTGGGGACTGGAGAGAACAGTGTGGATAATTGAGAGTCTGGGTAATCGAAAATATGAATATTGATGAGCCAAAAATAAAACTGACCAACTGCAAAGAAACTACATGTAGATCATTTACCTAACATCATGCAAGAATTAAAGCATATTCTCAATTTTTTGTCTATTAACTTTATTTTGCTGAAAGTATTTACAAAAAGGTATTAACCATTTAGCCCCTAAGAGTGACTAGCATCTAATTTCTCCTTACTATATCCTCCCTGAATCAAACTTGAAAGTTATGGGAATAGAGGAGATGATCACCAACTAAAGCAGCGCTTGATTGTTACACAAATTCTCCTTGTCAGCCTCTTTGGAAATGTATTGAGAACAGTATGCAGAATATACATACTGATGTTAGGGGGGGAAGGATTAAGGTAGTCAACAATGTTTTATTACAACATAATTGATCTTTTGGGCAATGGAAATTAATAAAAAGTAGTCACAGATCTTGAATTTGATGGGGACCAGTGAAGCAAGTCTGGACAACGGAAAAATCCAGATAATTCAGGGTCGACTTTATCACCCATTTTATATCAAGCTGACTAACTAATTCAGGAATACATAAAATTCTAATGACCAACAGTGCAGTTGGAAATTCAATATTTTTACCTACGTTTTGGTCCATTGCAGGTTCTCTGTCGCGATTGTAACAAGGTAAGCAGATTAACTGGCATAATTTGCACTTAGAAAATTAAAACACATTAACTAAAAGATGTTGCAATTTATGACTAAATCACACTGCCGAGAGACTGTAAATATCACTTCTAAGTGGTTGTAGGGAAATGTTGAGTGCATGTGAATGTCACGAAACTTTTTTTTTTCCAATAGAAAAGCAAAGTAAAATTTCATGTTCTCGGATTGAAGTGCATGGAGTGTGGTTCCTACAACACAAGCAGAGAGGGTGAGGAGGGTGTCCCTGTGGTACCCAGACCTGCCATAGGTGACCCAGCTGCAGATAACGAGGATGGCTGGGAAACAGAAGAAGAAGAGGAAATTGTAGGAGGAGAGGAAGAACCTGCAGCAAATGGAAATGAAACACGACAACAACAAGACGACAGTATAAGTGATGAACTGAATATAGCAGATGTTGTGATAAATGTAGACGGTGACAGGGACAGTGTTCTGCCTTTAGACTGACGGAGGCATACCATGAAGCCTTTTGCGTGCTCTCTTAACCTGATTGAGCTCAAAATAGTCAATAAGAAGCTCCCACAGGGGCTGCAAACCAAGGCAGCAAAGCAAATGAGCCTCGGACAGAAAGTAATTTTTCTCACTGTTTCTGCCCCACCCCACCCCAGTCATACAGCACCATCCGTGAAAGTCTGCTCAAAGGTCAAGAGCAGCATGTTGCATTTAGCGAAGACCGAGTTAAATTTTGTCATGAGTTTTGGGCAGTTGACTTTGCATGAGGTTTGAAATGCACTATTTATTAATCGATGCGTAGGTAGGAGATGGAAGCAGCGGGGATTTTGAAGAGGACTAAGGAGAGTCGCTCGAGACATACTGAGAGCAACGCTTCTTGAGTCCCCTCTAATCTTCCCAATTGCTTCATATCTCGCTCAACGCGATTTGGCGCGTGTAATAGATGATTGTTTTGGTACATTTTCAACCTGGTATTTACTGTTGTAGAAAGAGAGATTCCATCAGTTCGCTCGTACAGAAGTTTCCGCTCGTATACTCGCGTTATCTGTGAGCACGATTGTAATATGAAACACGCATGCACATCAGAATTTAATTTCACCAATTTATTGGCTATATTGTAATCGTTTTTAACCAGGTAACCAAAGGAATAAGTAAAATTTTGACACAATGTTATAAGCAGCACAATCCATTTTACCGTCAGACTATCGTTTCTTTCTATTTACCTGATAGAATGAAAACTCCCTCCTTTTCGGCTAGGTCTGCCACGAGTTAAAGAAAAATTAGCGAAAAGAAAAATCGATCTTATCGCACCGTTAAGGAAAAAAAAGGCCGTGAACACGCCGTGCGGAGTTCTGGGAGTGAGGCTCAAAATGTAATTAATCCGTAAAATAAGCTTGTCTTGGTAGTGTGTTGACGGTTATCTTAACAAGTACATAAGAGACTTCACAATGCACCGCTACGTGTCACAGTTACTGATTTGTGTACAACACTTTAATTTGTTCGATCGTTTAGTTTCATCGTCTGGGTCATGAAAGTCCTCAAAGAGATTATTGTCGGTGAACAGTAACTGAACACAGCGGTCAAACATCTGGCATGGGCAAAGGAATTAATTTTAGCCGGGCGCGCACTGCGCGAAATTTCTCCTGGTCTTTCATATCGTCACAATCTATTATTGTATAGCATCAAATCTTTGAAATAGAGGCGCAAAGATCAGTGTAACAAAACTTCTTCACTCTGTTGTATCTCGGTAACAGTGTGCACAAAACCCATCATGTGTTACTATTCAACAAAAATTATACAATTTTGAAATCTAGCGCAATTTTACGTCGTCAAAAATGCGCACTAATCGTTACACGTACACATAAATTCCATCCATGTTCAATCGGTAGACCTTCTGTACGTTGTCTTTTCTACACAATTATATAACACGAAATTCTTTGTTTTTAGATATTATGGGCATACATCATTAACTCTGTAAATTTTATGCTATTTAGCCTCAGGAGGCCGCGAATTTGAATACTTTTAACGAACTATCCGTCTCTCTAAGCACCCTTTAATCAAATTTTAAGGCCATGAGAAAGTAGGAAATGATCACCATCTGAGGCGGCTCTCGATCGTTAAACAAATTCTCCTTGTCAGCAGCATAAGAAATGTACAGAGAACAGTATGGAAAATATGCATACTGTTGTTAGGGTTTAAAAGGGTTAAGGCAAACATTCGCTCTAAATGTTATTTCTGCGTGTTCCGTTACTGCCTCTTTCTCATTAGATATTGCATTAAGTGCCATTTCGTTTCTCTTTACAATAGTCATTAAACATTTATTTTGTGGAAACTATTTGGTCATTTTGGTCGCCAAAAGGCGAAATGTTCAGTATATTGGATACAAGTACGTAATCTCCAATGGTCGAGGATGCTCGTTTTTAATCTGCGCTCTCGTTGGCCCTTTGGGGTGCCTTCCCTTCTTCTCATTGGCCGATGATACTACCTGGTTGTGGCGTTACGACATTCAATCGAAGAGTGCGTTAAAGAGATCCTTGTTTCCGGTTTGCTCTGAAAATGAAATGGTTGCCAATTATCTTACTAAAAGAAAGCAGTAACCGTCCCCTTGTCCTTACGGAAATGAAAAAAGCTGAAGTAGTGTCACATACTCTGTAATTAAATAGCAACAAAAGCAAGTCAGACGAGCTCCATCGCACTCTTCGATGGGCTTGGACTATATCGCGCTCGCTAATGTACGAGAGAATCAACCCTTTTTCCACCTTGCTGTTTTTTTTCTTGGTTTACCATCGTAGATTATCTTATCAGATTACAAGCCATTTCATGTTTTCGTAGGACGTTTTTTTCTAATGTGCATTTTCAAATTTCTGGTAAATAATTTTTTCAAATACGAATAAAACGAAAAACTCGTTCTGAAAGGAAATGATTTCTCACCGTTGCCTCATCACAGACATTTCTGTGAAGATTTATTCGGTCAACATGTGATTTTTTTTAATGAAATAACGCTCCTCAAAGGAAAATGTGCATTTTCGAGTTGCTGATAAACCATTTTTCAAACACGAATAAAACAAAAAATCTCGTTCTGAAAGCCTAAGGAAATGATTTCTCACCGCTGCCTCAATACAAAGACATCTCTATGAAGATTTCATCGGTCAACATGTGATTTTTCTGACGGAAATCAGGCTCCTCAAAGGAAAATATACATTTTCAAATAAAAATAAAACGAAACAAAAAACTTGTGCGGAAAGCCTAAGAAAATGATTTCTCGCCGTTGCCTTAATACAAAGACATCTCTGTTACGATTTCATCGGTCAACATCCCTGATTTCTTTTTAAACGGAAATTACGGTCCATAAAAGGAAAATGACAAAGAATGATTTCGTAAGCTTCAAGTTCTTCGACTCCATATTGGAGGGTAAACAGAGCCATGATGATCACTTGACTGATCATATGTCGACATGAATGTGAGTATGTCTGAAGATTCCCCTGTAAACTCTTCCCGGTCAAAGTTCTTTTGTCCAGGTGCTCCGATGATTATCTGGGATTTAGAAAGGAAAGTGTTCATACAGCTTGGAATCGCTTTATCTGCCCTCATAGGTTCATTTGCAGTTTTTTTGAACATTTTGGTGATCTTAGCAATCAAGAAAACGAGAGAATTGCAGACGAAGTCTATTATTTTAATCACCAGTTTGGCAGTCGCAGATCTCTTAGTGGGTGCAGTTTCTGCCCCATTTAACATCACTTTAGATGCATCAATTCTTCGAGGAACTGTATCGGTGGGCATGATCTGTGTGATGACTAAACTTACCAAATTAGTTTCGGGCACTGCTTACCGTGCTTCGTACTATCATGTAGTTCTGTTCAGTTGGGAGAGGTATGTTGCGATTGTAAAGCCTATGAAGTACAAGGCTATAGTAACCGAGAAACGCTTAACGAGATTAGCGATAATCGCTTGGATGACAGCCCTTACACCATCGGTCTTATTTGGTGCATTAGAAGCCACTGCAGTTTCCAAAATGGTACCTCGTGTTATATTTGTCATTGTCCAGTTACTCGCCTTTGCCCTTATGGTGTATTTTTATTCCATGGTTTATATCGGAATACGAAAATGGAACCGAAGCCAATTCAGCCACGTCAATGCTCTGATCAAAGCAAGGATGGAAAGTAAAACGGCTTTGACGGTGTTTCTGCTAACAATTGCCATTTTAATCGCTATCGTTCCTTTAGGGGTTGCACACGTCTTAGCGCAACGTTCCCTTTTTTTTCGTGAAATTTCAGTTTTGCGATGGGCGGAAACTTTCCTCCTGTCAAACTCCATTGTAAATCCCGCGCTGTATTTTTATAGAAACAGGAAATACAGGAAAGCTGCTCTAAAACTGCTAAGTAAGCCACGGGAAATTCAGCCAGCGGTTCACGTGGGTCTTCGTAAAGGACGCCAGCGATATTCCTCCGCCTTTGTAAATGTTAAAGAGCTTGTCTACATAGAAAGAGGTCAACGCCTCCCACGGTCACAGTCCTGGACAGCGGACACACACGTGGTCGCTGGAACACCGACTGTGTCTCGAGAACCAGCGGTCACAATAATGAACAGAAGAATGTCATGTCCACCCTTAATAAGGCATGAAAACCTTCGTGAAGTGATTCTACCTTTAACTCGAACTGTCAAGGTGCAGATCGAACTTACACCTACAAAGAAATAAGCAAAGAGGAAAGACAAATTATCGTGTGTTTGTAAAGGAGATCAGAAGTCACAACACACAAGATCAAAAACTTGGGAAGAATACTTATATCCTGTGTTAGAATTTGTGAGCGTGACTTGGCGTGACTACACTAGGCGTGACGTACTGATGTACGCGCGCATAGCCTTATGGGCTGTGCAACTTTGTGCTTCCTCGCTTGTGTTGTGTTTGTAAGTACAGTCCCGAGTTGTAAGATTGAAATGTTCATATTGTAACCTTGAGTGGGCCTAAAATACTTTGCAATATCTTATACCTAAAGACACTCTTTACAAATCACCGTAGGCTACCTCTCAAAGACCCAATTTTGCAGCATTCTATCAGAACATGAAGAATTATCACAAGTAGCCAATAAGATCTCAAAGTGAAACAAAGCAAAATGCTTGAAGCGCGGGAAAATGTGTATCACCAGGTGGCGATTAGATTCAGTCTTGTTTCTGGTTGGTTGAGATCAAGTCGTTAGTTCCCCAACCAATCACAAAGCAAAGGAAAGGAAAACCAATGTAAGCCAGAATTACTTGCATATTCAATCGAAAGCACGCTTGAAGGACCGTCAATAACGAGAAGGTTGTTACTAAAACGGGAAACAAGAAATGGAGAGTAACAGGTCGGAAAGTGAAATGGGAAATTGAAATTGGAAAAGTAATTTTTTTGATATCAATTGTTTACAATGCGGAATAAATATTTTCAGTGATAATTACCGGTATTCTTTTTTGTTAGCGTTCACGGCAAAGAGAAAGTGACAAAAAAAGAAAGAGGTTAC